AAAGTTGATGCAATCTTCATTGTCAACTTCGATTGATGAAGAAAGGTAACCTTAACGACGTTATAATACACAATGCAAATCAAGGAGACATGTGATGTTCTGGCTATGCTCGGCAATGCAGTCTCAAAGGTAGAGCAGATTGCAACTGTTCTTAATGGATTGTTCTTAGGAGCAAATCGAAAATTGAGTTATTAAATTAAATTTTTGTAAATTTTAGTAACTAAAATAAGAGTGAGAAGAAAGTTAAGTGATGAATATTATAGTTTACCCAAATAAAGCAACTAATTTAGAATTTTTGACCAAAATACTTTTACGAAAACGTAGATAGACTAAAATATCCTTTTATAGTAGAAGAACTAAAATAACTTTTAAAAATAGTTAAGAGACTAAAATGTTATTTTAATGGATTAAAATGAACTTATAGATATAATATAATAATTTTTTGATAAAATTTAACTAATTAATTTTTAAAAATAATTTTAAGTTTATAATTTATTTTTAGAAAATTATTTATCAGTAAATTGTTATCTTCATGAAAATTAATGTAATTGTTATATTGTTTTAGGGGTTGATCTATCAAAGTCTATGTTGATATTTGGGTTTGAATTGTTTAATTAGGATTAATTCAATTTCGCGTAATCAACTGGACTTTAAATTCTTAATCATTTATTCTTTTTATATTAGCTCAAAGGAAAACGATGCCATGAACAACAATAATACCCATTAATTATTTTGCAACTTGCTTAATTAGTCAACTCTTTGCAAGTTTAATGAGTATTATTATATGTAAGATGATTTAGGTTAAGTCTGGTTTTATTTGATTATCCTTATGAGTAGGGTTCCATGCTCTTTCTCTGTCGATATTGACTTCATAATGAGGTGGCCTTGGAAAGATGAAACAGTAGAGGTAAAAAAAATTTAACACCGTATAAAATGATATATTTTTTTAGTTAAGAATAATTTTTTTGTCGTAAAAGTTTTTTTTTTATTTTCTTGTTAATCTCAATTATCCGTTTTCACTCATCCAATGATCTAAAAAAATATTAAAAAATTAGTTTTATACTGTGTACATGAATCATAACACATACAGAGAGTTAGGATTCACGTACATAATATAAAACTTAGAAATGTTACATATTTCTTAGATTGTTAGATTAATTGAGTGTAATGGTTGAGAGTTTGGATCCATCGTTATTAAACAAATAATTAACTAAGCTCAATGGTTTAAGTGTGTTTATACTCAATAATGACCCAAAATTAAGTCTTTTTCACTATCTTATTAGAAGATTAAGTTTATTAGATTACTTTTAATTAGAATTATGATCAAATTGATAGGATGTGTAAGTAATGAATCAAATATGTTATTATATAAATTTATTTAACTGCTATGTTAATAATTTTATTAAGAGTTAACTATTGATAACTTGATTAAAGTTAAATATTGACTTAATTATAAACATTTATTTAATAATTAAAATAAAATCGATCTTACAATTTAGCATTGAATCAATTCGGTGTAGAAAGAAACAAAAGGATTGGGGCACGAGATGACGACGTGCTCCCCAGCTGCCCACGCGCACGCTACCCATGAAACCCTAATTTCCAAAGCTCTCTAAAAGGAGAGCTGACTTTTATTAACCCATCACAGTTGATGATTTATTTAAGTTTCATACTTCACTGTGATGCAAATTAATTTATATATTAAATCTTATAATTTCTTTTATTAAAAAATTAAATTGCGTCGGGTCTCAAAAACAAATATCATTTACTATAAAATAAAAACTAAATACATAATTAATATATTTTCATATAACTATCAATACAATAAACTAGCTACTCGATATCATTTAAGGATGATACAAGAAAAGTATTAAAATTCATCCAAGAAACTCGAACAAAATATAAAAATGATTGCATCGACAAAAGAATCTCAACGAGAGATTAAATATTGAAAGAGCTATAACAACCACAAATAAAAATTGAGCTTCGTGAGAAAACTATCTCATAACACAAACCACGTATCCAAGTCCAATCCGATAATGCAAAGCAAGAAAGGTCAATGTGATAACAAATAAGAGTCATCTTGATCGTTCGAAGCGACGCCAAATTCAGCCCTGAAAAATCGATCAAACGATCGAAAATGTATCATGAAGGAAGAAGAAAACACACCATAAAGACAAAGAAAACATGTCGTTAAAACATAATTATTAGAAACTAAAAAACATAGAAAAATAAATAATTATTGAAGATTTTATAACAATAAAATCTAGATTAAAAATAAATTTATTTTAAATTAAATCAAAATATATTTTAATTATTAGTTTGTTTATTCATGTTTTAGAATGATTGATTTTAATAATTATTATTGAAATAATTATACTTATATGTATATTATTAAATATGGTAAATTACCTTAAAAATTCAATTGATAAACAAAACAACTATTGTTGAATGATAATCTAATAAATAAAATATGTTTGGACCAAAAAAAAGCATGTAGTATTATAAAAATAAAAGAAAATGGATGGATGATTATCAAATTAATGTAGTAGAAAGCCATTACCTACCCCAACTCAAAACACAAGACACAGTTTTAACCTTGGGAGTAGGGATGTAAAATCATGTAATCATTTAGGTTTCAGTCGGGTAATGTCAGGTCAATTCAAATCATATATATGTCGTGTCTGGTCAATTTGATAATTCGACTCGAATCAGTTCGAGTCATTTTCAAATTGATTTTACCATTAGATTTTGTTCGGGTTTGGATCAGGTTAATTTCAATTCGGATCAATGTCAGTTCATGTCAAAATGATTAAGGTCTTAATCAGTTAAATTCCAGGTTAATTCAAGTTCGGATGAACTTCAGGTCGGATCTCGTTCAAATTGGATCACATCATTGACAGATAAATTTAGGTCGGATCTTACCGGGTACATATTGACTTAAGGTTGGGTTATTTTTGGGTTAATTATTTTTCGTCTTTCATGAACAAAGAATTGTAGTTTTTAATTGTACATGATTTGGAGTAAATTACAAAAAATATAAATAATTATGGGTCAATTTTGATAAAAATATAATTTTACGTACTAAATTAAATAAACTAAACAACACGCATGGATGAGGGATCAAATAGAAAATAATTACAAAAATATAAATAATTATGAGCCAATTTTATGTACAAATGTAATTTTAAGGATTAAATTGAACAAATATAAAATTAAAAGTTTAAATTTAAATAAATTAAATAAGATAGAGGGATCAAATCAAAATTATTGAAAATGTGAGAAAATTTGTAAAATGAACTGAATTACATTCATTTCAAAAGTTGAGAAAAATTTGAAACAATTATAATATGTATGTTATGATAATATAGTGCATGTATATATATTATAATACTTATGCATACATTATAAGTATATACTTTATGTATATATAATCTATATTATACATTTATACTTATGCATTCATTATATGTATATACTTATGTAAGTATATGTTATACTTATAATATGTATGTATATAAGTATATATATGTGTGAGTGTATATATAAAATATATAGTATATATATAAAGTGTATAAACTATAAAGTTTAAGTATATATATATATATATATATATATATGTATGTATGATGAATGTCATGATAATATAATTCATGTATATCAAATGTATATTATACATTTGTACTTATGCATGCATTATATGTATATGCTTATATAAGTATAATGTATACTTTTATATATATATATATATAAAGTAATTATGTACAGTAAAGAAAGAAGGGAAAATTAAAAGTAATTAGAATGTATATAGGACTAATTGCATTGAATTGAAAATTAAAGAAGAGATTTACAATTAAAACATGATTGAAATGAATGAAAACAAAAACCAGATTACAAAGTAAAAAAGAACTAATTGTTTAAGGAGCGCAAGCCTAATTAATTCAAAATATCTTCTAGGACATAAAGTCCCCGCCAATCCTGCTTCAAAATTACAAAAAAATAAAAATTTCCCTAAAAAAACCAATTTTCCCTAAAAAAACAATTGTTCTTTTTAAAAAAATCTCCCACCATCTTTTTTCACCATTTTTTCCATCTAAAATTTTTTCTCACCACTCATGTGAATATATATATATATATATATATATATATATATATAAGTATACTATTTATTTTAAATTGATTCTTAAATTTTAAAATTTTAAATTTTCAATCTCAATTAAATTTATCTTTTATATATATTTTAAAATTTTAAACTAAATTACATTTAAATTGTTAATTAATTATTACATAAAAATAAATTAAACTTATAAATATTTAAATTAATTTTATATAATTTAATAAAATCATGTTTAATAAATAAATCATTTAACAAAATTAATTTAATAATTATAATTAAGATTTATAATATAAGAATTATAATTAATATAGACATTAAATTTATTAATTTAATTATCGTAACTAATAATTTATTTTAATTTTTTAAAGTAATCATATTAATTATTATAGTTTATTATAAACTCAAAAATCTCACAACTTCATCAAAACCTCATAACTTATTAGTTGTAACTTATAAGTTAGGTAAATATCAAATCAGTTCAATAACAAGTTAAATCATTTATAGGTTGAGTCAATTACAGATCAGGTTTATTACAAGTCATGTTGATAACATGTAAGGTAATATCAATTATTTACCTAGTTAATCACGGGCTTGGGATCATATTAAGTCGGGTGCATGTTGGGTTTGTTTATCAATTATCAGGTTTAATTCGGATTTAGGTCATTCTCAAGTCAGGTGCAGATCGGGTGTTGATTGTAAATTTCCAAATCAATCTCGAGTTCAGATCAACGCCAGCTTATAATCAAATTAATTTTGGATCACTTCGAGTCAGAAATAATTTTTACTCAAATCAATTTTAATTAATTTTACACATCAGGTCAACTTTATATATGCTTTGTTTTAAGTGTATGTAATAGTTTTTTTTATTATTATTAGAACTTTAGTTTATTCTCTCTCTTCCCTTTCCTCTCTCTCTCTTTCTCTCTCTCTCTGTTTGATGAATTGATGCTACCAAAATGTTCTATCTTCAACAGAGAGATTGATTGGTTTTCTCTTTTATGTTCTTCTTCTCACTTCACTTGATTCCAGTTTGGAATTGCATCTAATTCACTTTTCTTACATCTCTTATCTTATATTCTCGTGTTATCTTAAAATTGTTAGAATAAATCAAACCAGTTCTGGGTTTTTTTTTTTTTGCTGCTCTTCTGTCGTGTTTACTTGAGCTTCGAGTTAAATTAGCTGTGACATGGCGAATCCTTGGTGGGCTATTAATCAAGTGAATCTACAAGGTATGGAACCTGAAGGCAATTCAGCAGCCTTGAACAAAAGTGACCTGGGGATTTCAATGAACGATACCGGCAAAAACATAAGCAACAACGAAGACGAAGACGACGATAGAGATACCGGAGATGAGCCGAAAGAGGGAGCTGTCGAGATCGGTAACCGAAGACCTAGAGGCCGACCTCCGGGCTCCAAAAACAAGCCCAAACCACCCATTTTTGTCACTAGGGACAGCCCGAACGCGCTCCGTAGTCACGTCATGGAAGTTGCGAGTGGCACTGATGTAGCCGAAAGCATAGCCCAATTTGCACGGAGACGACAACGCGGCGTCTGTGTGCTCAGCGGCAGCGGCTCGGTCGCGAACGTTACGCTTAGACAACCGGCAGCACCCGGAGCCGTGGTTGCTCTTCAAGGAAGGTTCGAAATCTTGTCTTTGACCGGAGCTTTCCTGCCTGGACCAGCACCACCTGGCTCAACGGGACTCACCCTATACCTAGCTGGTGGTCAAGGGCAAGTCGTCGGAGGAAGCGTCGTTGGTTCACTCGTCGCCGCAGGGCCTGTTATGGTCATTGCAGCAACGTTCGCTAACGCAACTTACGAAAGATTGCCCGTAGAAGAAGAAGAAGAAGCAGCCAGCGGAGACGGCCAAGGTGATCAGATCCACAACGGATCAACCAATTCTCCGCATGCAGGTCTGCTCGATCCGTCTTCACTTCCAATATACAATATGCCTCCTAATTTAGTCTCCAATGGAGGTCAACTAGGGCATGAGGCCTATGCTTGGGCACCTGGGCGACCACCTTATTAATAAATCCAGACCATAGCTTCATATGTAAGATGTTGAGACATAATCTTCTTAGATCTTTCAAAAATGTCGTGCTTTATATTTAAAGATTTGTGAAACCAAAAAAAACCTAAGTGATTTCCTTGTATATTAATTAAACTCTCTTTTGCTTTGCTTTGTTAGATGTTTTCAATAATGAAAGTTGATTTTAAAGAGTACTCTTAAATTATTTTTCCATATCTTCTTAATGATTTTAATTGTTCATGTGATCTATTTTCTCCCAATTTAATATATTTTAGATGATATATTCATAGTTCGAGATTTATGATTTTTTTTAATAATATTATGTTCAAAATTTAGATTTAAATTTTGAAAATGTAATATGTCATATCTTTGACTATTTCAATGACAAAATGGAAAGTCAAAATTATTATTTCTCAAGTAAAAACTTATTGATTATTTTAATTTTTATATAATTAAGTAAATGTGATTAGATTGTTTAAACTGAAAAGGACGAAAAACCAATCTAAATTAACAACCATATATATTTTAAGAAAAGAAAAAAGGGGAAAAATTCATTGATTTTCAATTCACCCCATCCACTACTTTGTTGTTTTTAATTAATTAATTTGTATCCTTTGATGATAGTCCATAACTGCATGCAGCTTGAGAGAGAGGAAAGGGTTTCATCTTTCCAGTTTCCACTATAATTTTAATTATTAAAAAAATGTAATGGAAAAAAGAGGAAATCATTTTGATTTGATTTTGTTGCATAATTGCATTACCACACGATTTAATGAGCATTGTGCAATTTACTATTTTCTCAACTTACCTAATTCTCCTATTGTTATATATCAAACAAGATCACTTGCTTCATCAAAAATAGTTGATTTTGACATCTAAATTATTTTGATTAAACAACGATAGAGGAGTGATGCAAAACTTTTGCTTAGGATAAATACATTATTAATTATTAATTATTAAATTATACCACATCCATTATTAAAATTTATGATCCAAACTTTATTATGATTTGGCTTAAAAAAATTTGTAATGCGAGTCGTTTGATGAAGAATAAATTGGAAAAAAAAATTATGATAGATATGAGACAATGTCGTGCAATATGGTATGAATTTATTCAACTAGGGTTATTGTGTACTTGTAACTATATATGCATATCCAGAGTTTGATGTGCTCATGGATGGATCAGGGGTGTTGGGGGCGATTACACCCCTAGGAATTATAGTTTATATATTTTTTATAATTTTTATTGATGAATTAATTTTATATTTTTAGATGTCTAATATAATTTTCTAAAAATCTACACTCCTGTTATAAAATTTTGTGTTGGTCTCTAAATATACTCATATACCTATTATAATTTATATCCGGCTTAATGAAATTTTCTATTTAAAGTTTTTTTTATGTAAATCTATATGTTCTTTTTTTTTTGTGATTATTTATTCATCATTATCATAATACCTATAAATTTCCTTTTATGTAAATCTATTCATTTTTACCCTTGTTTTAAAATAGGTATGCTTTTTATATATATATATTCAATACTCACGTTTGCTTATAGTTTTTTATTTGGGAAAAAATTTAAAAAAAAATAAGAAACGATAACAATCACTTTGTAAAAATAAGAAAATTGGTACCTATAAAAATTTTTCTCCCAAGTTGATATCTGAACTTTAATTTCATCTATTATTCTGGAATTTTAAATATTTTTTATATTTTTTTTAAATACACATGTTGAAATCATTATTGACACATAATAATAATTTGGGAGCAAAAATTCTGTACAGATATACCAACGTGAAAATAAAAATTCTTTGATTTGAAGAGAAAATATCTAATTCAAATGCCAAATGTATATTGAATCATATTAAGAATTCTTGGTAATGAACTGTTACAGGTCTAATCTTATTGTTCTAAAGCGATTAAACTCCTTCTCGAAGCTGAAACACCATTTCTCTTGTTTGTGCCATCCAATGTTCATGTGAATGAAGTTGGACAATCAATGTCACCTGGGTACCCCATGAATGCAATATGATTGTTAATCGTATAACCAACCTTTCAGGTCCTATTGCGCCTCAAATCTTATATATTGATTCTCCATCGTCGGACATCTAAAAAACCCTAACACGGGATATTGCCGGTCCTCCTTTTTGTAAACAAGTACATGCTTAAACCTATGGCTTAGGCTTCTTTCTATTAAAAAAACATTAATAGATGAAATCTCAAATCCATATATAATACACCCAAAGAACAAATAAAGGAGAGGATAGAGAGATAAAGAACATGGAGGACCCTCTTCACATGAATTCACATGTTATAGGTAATAAAATATTACTTAATTTTAACAACATTCCAAACCTAAAGTAACAAAAATCAAATGGACCCTCAATTTTTATTCAATAATGTCCTCTTTAAATAAAATTAATCATAATCAAAGCACCAATTAAAACAAATATATTCTCCTTTTATGTTCCATATGTTGGCACATTGACCCTACAACTTGTCTTGCACACATATGCTGAACTTTTCTTTTAACTTTGCAATTAATTGAAAGAGAATCCATTCATAAAATGTAGACCACCCAATAACTTTGATTAATTAATATTTAAATTGAGTGATTGAACTTAATGTATAAGGCTTTAGTGGTGGGGGAGAATCAAATGATCATTTGTTTCACCTCCATGTTTTTACTTAATGAATCATGTAGTTTTTAACCTAAATTATTAATCTCATCCGATTATAAATTAGAATATAGTGAATGAAGATTCATGAGTGAACATCTAATCAAATTGAGCAAAAAAATATTAAAATTAGTTGAGTTGACGTGTTGTTTTATTATTTGAGTGCAAGTCAAAATTTTATCAATTCAAGTCGAGTGAAATAGAATTCAAGTCAGAATTTTAAATTAAAGATTAAAGTTAATTGAGATTTGGTGAGATTATGACATTGGGTGTTTAGGTTCAAACTCCACCATGCATGAAATTTTAATTCAAATTTATTATAATTTAAGTTTTATTATGTATAAGTTATGACTAGAGTTATCTGAGTTTATGTTCTAGAAATATGATTGTGCTGACCATATTAATATATTTATTTATAATTTAAAAATTCTATAAATGATTTAATTAAGAAAAATGTTAATTCAGCAAATTCTTTTGCTTCTAAAAGAATAATGCACAAGAAGGATGTGAAAAGTGTATATATTGGATGCTGAATATATTTACAAATTATTAGTCAGTCAACAGATATCATTTTATGAAAACTTTTATTATCTAAATATACATGATTTATTTAATGAAATACTATTATATACAATTCGTGAAAAGTATAAATTTCCTACAAGACAAAAGTAAAAGTTTGGCAAAGAGAGGGAGACCGTTGCTTCAACGAAGTAAAAGATAAAAAAGAATATAAAATGCACCAGCCGGGAATCGAACCCGGGTCTGTACCGTGGCAGGGTACTATTCTACCACTAGACCACTGGTGCTTGTTTGCTGTTGGGTTATGGACATTTCTAATTTTATATGTATATTTTATTTCGTTTTCTAATGTTTGTTTCTGTGTCCATAAGATTTTAAAACATTGTGTCTATAAAAATAAATTATATATATTTTCTATTTTACTATTATATCAATGTCATATAATTATATCTGTTATAAAAAATTACCAAACCAAATGAACGGCTAGAAAGTGGTCAAAACACCACATACTTATCACTTTTTTTTTGGTAAATAATAGTCGTCACTTCTTAATCAACTTGGGAAAACAAGTTGCTAAATGATGAAAGCTCGACAAAGACCCGATTCTTTCAAGTTAATCAACTCTAATCATGTCGTTGTCTTGTCCCGAATACACGACATATTCCATTTTTGGGAAAGCAACACGTAATTGAGTCTTTCTAATTGAATCATACAAAGGACAATCCATCTTTAATTTTATTTGATTTTTATTCACAATGAATTATTTTTAAAAAATACTAATTAAAATTCACACAAACTCGAACATGATAAAAAAAACAAGTGAACAAAACATAGAGAAGAGATGTACTAGAAAACGAAAAATTCGACGAGAATGACATTAATAAGTAGTTTAATAACTTGGAATAAGTATTGTATTTGGGCTTCAATATTGACTAAACTTTAAAAATAGACGAAAGGTCCAAAATTCTATTATTTATATATTTCCCAATATAGAAGATTGAGGATAAGATTGAATGCGCGACATGAATTTAATGAAATGAAAATGAAATTTAAAGAAATACAAGCTTGCTGCATGAATATAGGGCTCGTCAATTAATTAACTTCTGTCTACTTGCACGGTTGTCGGAATCACATCAGATCAGATCGATTTAATGCCTTAATCAACTGCTCAATCAATTGCGGTTCGAGTATTTCTTTTTTGTACCAGTAGTCGAATACCGACTTCTTGCACGTTCGAATATGACTTTACAATTATACTTTCAGTCTGTTCATGCAACAACTATACTTTCAGAGGCGAAGAACAGACTTTACAATGTTCCTAGTCGCGTCTATAGTAGAGAGCTCGCGATTTCCCGAATCCTGACTGCTCTACCGACTGTACTGCGAAAGTCTTTTCTGGCTTTGCACTGTGCGTGTAATCTAGTGTTTATTAGAGTGATGTGTTGAAGAGAATTCTGGTAATCTATTTTGATTAGATCAAAAACAATCTATGCAAGTGAAGTCGCTTAAACGATAGGAAAAAGGAGCGGATGTCGTGTACCAGCTTGAATGTGAATGTTGAGTGCAACATTGCGGGAAGCATGGTGATGAGTTGAAGGAGCCGGTGATGTTATCGTCATGCAACTCTGTTGACCTGAATCAGGATTTTTTGAAGCTCCACAGAGATTTCATGTAATAGCACTGGTTTTTGAATAACTCCGTTCATTCCAGTCTGCAAACATTTTTCCCAGATATCTTGATCCATACTTCCAGTCATGGCGACAATCAATGGCCAATTCCGGCTTCGGAACTTACGAATTCTTGTCGCGACTTCGAATCCATCCAACTCGGGCATCTGAAGCTCCAAAATGA